GTGTGGGGGGGGTGGGGGGGGGGGGCATTTTCTGGAAAGAGACTTGTCTGGACACGTCACTATATGCGATAAACAGCAGCGGAAATATTTTCTTCTCTCTCCTCTGAGTCTGAGGTAACATCTTCATACCGGACACAACTAACTTCAGCTGTCAGCTCCACAGTTGTTACGAACAGCACATGGCATATACATATTTTTTTTTGGAAATTTTACAAAAACGCTGTCTCCCATGAGGACAATTTCCCTGAACTGGAATGTTTTTGCTTTGTCTCTCCGTCACTTAATTTTTTCAAATCAAATCTTTCTGTGTCAAAATTTTGTTTAGTTCGTCTACTTACTGAAAGCCGCTCCCTCACTTTTGCTACCACCAGATAATGATCAGTGTCGCAATCTGCTCCTCTGAATGATCTCACATCAATTACATTTGTCTGCCTTCTCAACAATGCCGAGTAAACAAATATAACGTGACATTGTTTGATGACATCATTTTTTGACGACGACGACAAATCACAAATTTGTATAGTAAGAAAGAAAGATGTAGATTAACTTATATTCAATGGCAAACTATTACTTCTTTCACCAGAACTTACGGTAGTCTGGCTGAACGGTAAATACGTACGTAGTTTTCACGGGATTAGAAACACAATTGACTTTTTGACTTAACGCCGAAACTACTGTGTACAGTCTAGGTCGAGTCCGTTAAAGGAGCATTGTGGTTGTTTGAGATTCGATGTTCTTACGGCGACGAGTATGAAGATGGCAGTCTTCTCGGATGTTGCACCATGTCTGGTAGATGTGAACTGACGTTTCAGAGGAACGCGCTGCTTTAATCATACACCAGAACACACCCATTTTCATTATGAATGGCTGTTCAAAATATCTAGAAAGCTTTCCATTGGCTTGGACAGAACAAGTATACAAAAAGAATATAAGTAACATTCAGCGTGAACGACAATCTGTTCTTTTTTAATATTTTCTCCATAAAGAAAATTTCCTTTCAGTGACTTACAGCTTCTAATACACAGAGACACGTTTTCTAATAACATAAGATGCAATGAGAAAGTTAAAGTCTTTCTGTGACTCCTATATTTTTGCCCAGGATTTCAATTCCTCGCCAAACACAGAGACTTTTGTTACAAGTTACCGATAAACACGAAACACACACACAATTGTGAGGGTCGTAGCGGTCATTGTAATGTACTCGTGACATGTTCACAGACCCGTCGTTGAATTTTGCTGCTGGAAATAAATTCGCCTTTTTTTTTAATTGTTCGGAGTAGGTATTTGAGGTCTTTTTCAGGAAACGTTTTCTAAAGTTTTTTGTTGTTTGCGCACGGTGCCAGTCTTTTGTCAGGGAAAGATTGTGTTCACGTTACTTTGCTGTATGTTCGCAAGTATTTGAATCTGTGTGAACACCCACGCACAGGGGGGGGGCCATGTATATATAAAAACCAATAGTAACTGATAAAAACCCATATGCCGCCTTTTGAAAAGAACCATTCTGTAGAGTTGAGAGCTCTTAATGTTTCCCTTTGTGTTGTTTGTTCTGGTACGAATATTAATAAAATACATTTTAGGTTAAGCATACGAAGAAAAGAGAAAATTATAGCAAATTAAGGTCCTTGCTCGAATTGAATCATTATTCAAACTTGGTAATTTTCATTGTGAAGTAAATTAACGTTGAGTTCTCATTGTTAATGTAAGTCTAAATAGCTGAATACCCAATGGTAGTCTCAATTACTTCGGGGTTTTGGTGAATTAATTTTCAGCAACCAAAGTCACTAGCGTATTAGACAAGCGAGTAAAATTTCTCTCAGTTACTGTCTAGCTAGCGAGTTCAGATTATTTATTTATTTATTTATATATATACATATATATATCGCTACTCGCCAGTAATGTTCTTGAAGGTAATAAGTTAGCTGTTCGTAATTAAGTAGCAGACTAAAGATTTTTTTTTCAATTCATTTAAGGTGGCAAAGTCGAATTCAAATGAGGTGATACGGTTTTAAAATATTTTTTAACGTTGTCCTGTGTTAGGGGAAAGTGAAGGGAAAATAGAATTCTGGAAGAAGAAAAAAATTTTGAACCGGGCCAACTTCTCATATTTAGACTTTCCCCAAGTATTTCTAGCTCTTCCCGAAGAGTCTCAGCACAGAATATACTGCCCGCACGACGTAATTCTTGTGACTTTTCAAAAAAAAGTAAATTTCACCAGATTTATTAAAAGATTTTTTTTATCTTTCTATAAAGATAGTGTAATTGCGTCATATTGTGAATATTCTAACAATTATTTATTTTAATCCGTCTTATCACAATATTTAAAATTTCTTATAATTAAGATAATAAAATATCATTGATGTTCCATATCGATTGATCGATTTACATTTTGGAACATCCTTTACACAACATGTTTCAGTTTTTATAAAACCATCTTCAGGTGTATAAGATTTACGAACTTAAAACTCAAATATGATTCCATTTGGTGATGTTTCATGCCATTTGTTTTTCAATTTTGGGCGAGGTGTTGTCTTTTCTTAAATTTTATCAGATGTACATATCGGTCCTAGATGTAGGAGTGATTGTTCCGATATGTCCAGAAGTACGACTGTCATCGTATAGGTGTGGGTCAATACTCTCTAGAATACTTTCTAGAAAACTAATGTAGTGCAATTAGAAAAGCGAAATCACTCTCGGTTCGCCAATTCCTGAGCGAGTGACTTCGCCGGCGAGTAGAGAATAAAATATACATATATAAATGAGGCTGTTGGACGCCCGAACTTACCTCGTAGTGACAGGTGGTAGGGGGTAACTCTCTGCCTTCGATGGGGACCCTTACAAACGCGAAGACAAACAGCAGACGAAAGAGACGCCGACGTCTGTCTTGAGAGCGTCGCATTTCTCTGGTTGCTTCGTGGTAAGCACGGTAACTGGGAGGTTTGCTGTGTTACACCCGGCTCCAAACACCGCCAC